TGTAGGGTTAATTTAGGGGTTCCATATATTGTGTTAGCTAGCTAATAGAGAGGAGTGTCCTCTCTTATCTTCGTGCTTGATCGACACTACGTATAAAGAGGACTCGACGCGCTAGCTAGCTAGTAAGCAAATGAAGGGAACCATTAAATACAGAAGATCGTCATGAACATATATACACAGAGAGAAGTGATCGACCTCTCCTTCTCTGATAGATTGGTCGAACAACAAGTTTTCGTATATCTATCCGACGCTACTGGCTACATATATATATATACACAATATAAGATCTCTTACGTCCCTTAACATCTGAACTCAACTTCCACATGGTATTCTCCGTGTTTGTCAATGACGTGGCCAAGAAAGAATCCCGCCAATTCCTCCTAAATTGCTCGTATGCGATCTTGTGGTAGGAGTTCATCCCGCGTCTGCCACATCTAATTTCAAGAAGGGGGTCAATACATATATATGAATGAAACTGAACACAAACGATGATAATAAAATAAAATTGTGAATATTATTGCTTACGCACTTCATATTGTTGTTTAGAGTAGCCCCGCTCATAGGTGGTGTGGTGGATGAACTCGCAAATGTAGTATCCACACAAATCATTCCCGGGTTCCTGCCACAACTACTTTACAAGAAATAGAGGTCAATCAAACTGATAAGCAAGCATGCCAAATGGTATTGATGAAACTATCTAGAATCAATGGGAGATGCGCGGAACTAGCTAGTAGCTAGTACTTACTTTCGGGTGGTCAAATCGCAGTTGCGCCGGCAGTCCCGGAGCTTGTGCGGAACTTTTTCCAAACCCTGCCAGACAAAAGAAAACAATTACTTGATATCAGTAAATGAACAAAGTTGCCGATATGGTGCGATTGAACTTACTTCTCGAGCATTTTAGTCATGGTCGCATACTCCTCCGGATTTTTTTCGTTTGGAGTCTATGACGGTTACTAGTCCTTGCTCAAGCTTAATCTCTAGCAGAATAAAGTGGAACCTGCGCATGCATGCATAACTCATCAATTACATTACTATAACCTCGAGTAATAAGGGAAACCGAATATGCACAAGACAGTAACACTCACTTGTATTCGTAAGGAAAGAGTATTGTAGCTTTGTTTTGATTTCGAAGTAACGATGCGAGCAACTTGGCCTCGGTTTGTCTGGCATCATGTTTAACACTCCATTCATCCATGAGATTTGTGTTAATGAACCCAATATCACCTACTTGTCTTTTCTTCAATTCGACGATCTTCAATCTGCATAATATAGTGAGGATAATTATATATACATGCAATGAAAGAGCTGAGCTATATATAGAGACTTAACTAATTACAGGGAAGTAGTACTTACAGACAGTAGCAAGTGATGATTGTTTTATCGAGGGCCTTTGATTGTAGAATTGGAAGAACTCCTCATATGAAACTAACAACAGATCAATTCCAACGAGGTCGTGCTCCTCTTCAACCGATAGCGACAAAGTATTTTTTCCCAGACTTCCTGCAGATGTCCATGTACCAATCATGGAATCTTCGCATCATCGTTGTCAGGGAAGTACCCGGCCTGACGAGAGGCTTCCCGTGCTCGAATCTTAATATGTCCACCTCCATTGTTCCAAAAATTATTGCATCATCGTCGGCCATGTAATCTCCAGGATTGGTACCGGGCAGCACCCTCGGAAGATTAGCGACGATATCGCTAGACACATTGAGCGGGGGGCACGATTGCTTCGCTTGTTCACCGAGCTGGGGAATTTGTTTCCCTTTTCTTCGTTCTGCTTCTGGCTGTACTGTTGGGGAACGTAGTAATTTCAAAAAAATTCCTACGCACACGCAAGATCATGGTGATGATATAGCAACGAGAGGGGAGAGTGTTCGTCCACGTACCCTCGTAGACCGTAAGCGGAAGCGTTAGCACAACGCGGTTGATGTAGTCGTACGTCTTCACGATCCGACCGATCCAAGCACCGAACATACGGGGCCTCCGAGTTAAGCACACGTTCAGCTCGATGACGATCTCCGGCCCTCCGATCCAGCAAAGGCTCCGGAGATGAGTTCCGTCAGCACGACGGCGTGGTGACGATGATGATGTTCTACCGGCGCAGGGCTTCGCCTAAACTCCGCGACGATATGACCGAGGTGGAATATGGTGGAAGGGGGCACCACACACGGCTAAGGAACGATCCGTAGATCAACTTGTGTGTCTTTTGGGGTGCCTCCCCCACCCCCGTATATAAAGGAGCCAGGGGGGAGGAGGCGGCCGACCTAGAGGGCGCGCCAAGGGGGGAAGTCCTACTCCCACCGGGAGTAGGACTCCCTCTTTCCAAGTAGGAGTAGGAGAAGGGGGGAAAGAGGAGGAAGAGGGGAAGGAAAGGGGGGGCGCCGCCCCCCTTCCCTTGTCCTATTCGGACTAGGAGGGGAAGGGGCGCGCGGCCCCCTCCTGGCTCCTTCCCTCTTCTCCCTCATGGCCCATGTAGGCCCATTAACCCCCCGGGGGGTTCCTGTAACCTCCCGGTACTCCGGTAAAATGCCGATTTCACCCAGAACTATTCCGATGTCCAAACATAGGCTTCCAATATATCAATCTTTATGTATCGACCATTCCGAGACTCCTTGTCATGTCCGTGATCACATCTGGGACTCCGAACAAACTTCAGTACATCAAAAC